CCTACCTTGGCTTTGCAACAGTCTTGAGGAAAACATGAGAGAAGGAATATGTAAAGTGGAGTCCCTTCAACCGAGCTGCTGAAATTATTAATGTTACGAAAGTTGTGGCATGAGGAGAGACTCTGTTCCTGGTCTCACTAGCCTGGGAACTTAAACTTTTCTTGTTAATGCCTAGATATGCATCTGGACCTGCAGATAACTTAACACTCTAATTACCCCGAAGGACTCCCATATCCAGGCCACCCAATTACACCCTGAAGGACTCACAGATATATCCACCCGACATCCATTATCCAGACCACTGGACGTGACCAGACCTCCTGGTACCCACCTTCCAGACCACCTGGTATCCATCATTCAGACCAACTGACGTATTATTGATAACTATCCTGGACAGTCCTATAAGGGGCTAAAACTGCAGGGTTGATAATTCTCAATAACGTGCTTCTTACTATAAGAGCTTTTAACTTTTCTTCCTTTTTTGGAACACCATTTGGGTTTTTGCCTGAATCAGTGTTTCCGGAATAACTATTCTTTATGCAAATAAATGCTTGCTGTCTTTCACTTGGCCTTTTATTTTCAGGTTAATAGTCTCCACACTGGTCTCCCCAACTCCAGTCAGATCCACGCAAGCCACGTTCCACGCTGTGCAAATCACCCCCTCAGAGGGTCCCAGCACCTGGCTACAAGCCGGGCCCCTCGGCTGGGCGTTTGGGTCCTAAATGGCCTGGGCCACCCTCCCCTCCCCCCTCACCCTGACACACGTATTAGACGCTAACAATTCCTGCTTACTGCTAGTTTTCTCCACTTGGAATACTCTTCTTAGTGCTGACTGGCTGGAAAATTGTTTTAGTATGACTTTATGAAAAACAACTAGGTAATTTGAATACCGAACCTTAGAAAAAAGGAAATACCACAAAATGTGAACGAAGGTCTACACACATAGCTATTTACCACAGGCCCACTTATCACAGCAAAAAAGGTGTGTGTGTGGGGGCAACTTAAATGCCCAAGAAGAGTCAAATAAATTATGGTATATGGGATACTACATAACAATTAAAAATGATGCTGACAAAGTCTTAAAGACACAGAAATGTTTATCCTAGAAAGGACTTAGCAGATATGTGGATATCTGAAACAAAGCCATACAAGCCAAGAAAGAAAGAAAAAGAGGAATAAAGACATAAAGCAGAGTCAGAGATGCGGCTACAAAAACACCTTTCAGCTGCATGTGAGCCGCAAACCTGGCGAGCACAGACCCAGTTCTGACGGTATCACTATTTGGCCTCCACGGTATGAAGACATCCCCTCGTGGGAGAGAGGCAGTCATCCCACACGCGCACTGCTGTGGCGATGCGCCCCAGAGAAGAGGATGAAAAACTAAGGAGATGCACATGGCAGGTTCCCTAAGGGTGATTCATACTGAAATCCTGGATTAAAGCCATGGCTACTGCAGCGGCCAACTTGATTCCCTTGTAAGGAGCCAACAGGTAATAATGCAGGTCTTTAGTTTTCTGTGAATCTACCTTGTTGCAGAACCTGAATTTAGAGAAATAGAAGGACCGAAGTGCATTTCAATGACTCTTCCCCCAAATAATTTTTTGTCATACTTCTGATACACTTACTGAATTTAAAGCTGTACTTGCTGAAACGTACCTGGAGTCACGCTAATCTAGCTGTATAATTACAGAGACTCAGTCAGGATGAATAAGTAGGGGCAGGAGTGGAAGCAGAGAGCTCAGTGAGAAAGCTTCTGCAGGAAAACGGGAGCAGCGGAGGTCAGAATGACACAGTGATAGTAGTAAGAGCAGTAATAGTTCTACTAATAAAAGTAATGTCACATTATATTGTAGTACTAGCAATAATCACAGCAGTATACATGTGTACAATTATCATTACTTGTCAGGCTTTGAATTTCATATGTAAAAACCAATTTTTAGTTAAATAATTAGATTCTTGGATCAAAATCTAAGTTTCTTTATTGGCATTTTCTTTTGTTCATGAAAGTCAAGCCTAAATTGAAAACACAGCACACACAAAGCTGGCCCCCTCTCTGAGCTCCTATGAGTTTTGGTGGCACTGCCCTATTTTGCTCTTGTTACTAAGAAGAAGTGGGAAATGGTATCTGCCTTGGACTTCCTACTCACTCATATTCTGGCTATCAGTCCCTTATGATCATTCTAAAACATTTAAAGAGTTTATTAACTTAATTAAAATAGAATTTGTACAAGGAAGAAACAACTCTGCGTGTCATTTCATAGGTCTATTGTTAAAGAAGACACGTTCCCAGATCTGGTAGAGATGCACCTGCACGACTTCTCTGGAGTCATCACCATGGAGTCAGCACCATGACTACACAGAGGAGGGGAAATCACGTATCACTTCCTCCTAACTTGTGCCAGGGTCTCCGAAAGGAACAAACAAGGGAATGATTTTTGTGCCAGTCTCTGAAAGGAACAAACAAGGGAATGATTTTTGTGCCACAGTCTCCGAAAGGAACAAACAAGGGAATGATTTTTGCAAGTATGGTGGTACAAGAGCATCCATTCCTGAGTGACATGGAAAGACCCTGCCCGTCAGCGACAGAGCACAGAGGCACCCAGCGTGTCAGGGGTGAGGAGGCCACAGGAAAGAGTACCAGAGCAGAAAGACAACCGACTGGAACCGTTTTTGAAACAGTTTTGACTCCAAGGAGATGCAAAGAATTCTGTGAATGAGTCAGCCTGGAAATAATGGGAAAGACAGTCTATGAAGTTCATAGGAGCAACGACTCAATAATACCCCAGAGGAAATTATCTAGCAAAAAGCAAATACCAGTGCATTTGTTTGATAACATCCATTAGTGCAAACTGTCTGGCAGATAAGAGCAACAGGCATAAAGATATCTTGATTTTAAAGTCAGCATGGAAAAAAATGCATGAGCTCTTCAAAGAGTGAATATGTGTGGTGAGTCTAAGATCAAACAGTCATTAAGCAAAACCTGTGTTTGGGAATTCGCAATACATTTTGCTATTTAAAGCAATACCCACGATAAGAAAGTAAAAGCAGATGGACAGTAAGGAGCCTGAAGCAAAAAGAATCAAGGAATGAGCTGAGAACCAAATAATGATGCAAAAAGGAAAAGCTTGGGGCCAAAGTGAACCGGCCTTGAAGTTTTTATGCATGTGAGTGTAGTAAAAATAAAAATGCGATTTTTTTCTTGCTTAGTATTTTCAAAACATTTTACTGCAAAAGGAGATCTGGCCTCATACATCATGACAATCTAAATACTGCTAAAGCCATGCAATTCATCATAATTAAAAATTACAAGCAGCCAGATGTTACCCAACAGGCCATGGCAAAGGGGACTGAGATACGTCTGTGGCTGGGATGTTATGCAGCTTCCAGTAACCAGATGCCGTAACACGGAGTTTTGAATGAGCAGGCTCTTTTACCCTGCGTGAATTACAGAGCTAAAGGAATGCTGTAGCTGGTTTGGAAAACATTTTCTTAATTACATTTGTAAGGTTCTTTGGAGTTTCAGGAAAAAGTTGCTATTTAAATTGAATTTGCTTTGGATTTTTCTTTTTTAAAAGTAGGAGCAGTCTCACAAGGCTCTGAACAATCTCCAAGAAATAAAAAAAAAAGGAAAGCACTTTCCTTGCTTTTAACTGACGCCCTGGGTGGGGTCTGCAGAGATGGAAGGGGCTGTGCTGAGAGGCTCTCTGTGTTTACCTACTGCCATTCTCTGCTGATGTTTCTGGAGTCGCCCAGTGAACACCAAGCATAGTGTCCAGAGAGAGAATGTTTGCGTCCTACACACGTTTGAAGGAACTCTCAAGTCTTTTTGTGTCCAGTTTACGATTTGACCTTGGGGTAGTTAGCAATCTCTAAGCCAGCGGAAGGAATCCCACTTGCAGGCCTTGGCTGGGCTGCCTCAGTGCCCTTCCTTCCCGCCTGGTTTCCTGATGATCAAGTTGCCTGCAAGCATTTCAAGTGCGATCCATTCCCCTTGAGAGTTTCTGCATTTATTTCCTGGGGTGTTTTTTTTGTCCCTTCTTTATTGTTTTGGGATTATTAAACTGATTCCCCTAACGACATACTTTCTTTTGTATTTCTAATAAATAGTTCTTATTGATGCAATGTTTTATGAATAAATGGATTGTTTCATATCTTTGTGTGTTTCCTACCTTTGTATTTTTCTACCTTATTTATTTTAGTACTTCAAGACTTTCTAAAGCCAATCTTTTTTTTTGAGCAAGGGCCATTTCTTCAAAGCAGAATTTAATTTTTATTTTTAAAACACTTGTACAAATGCAAAAACTGTAAAAAAAGGTTTTGATTACAGGAGGACAGCTTTCAAGGTAACTTGGAAATAATTTAATTGAGTGATTTAAATCTATTTCATTTTAACTGTACAAAAAGAATTCTGACACAGTAAGAGTAAATTTCCATAGGGAGAGGGGTTGGGAATTACAGGGGAATCACTGAGGGCATTTACTCACTTCTGCATGCTGGGGCTCTCTCCTATAGAATCTAGACATTTGGGTGGGGGACTATCCTGTTAGCAAAAACAAACGAACAAACAAACAAAAAATGAAAAAAACTAGGGAAATGGAATCTGCCTCTGGGCTTCCTACTCATTCCTGGCCATATTCTGGCTGCTGATCCCTTCCTGATCATTCGGAAAACATTTTAAAGATTTTCTTCACTTAATTAAAACAGCACTGTAAAATTGAGAATTGATCCTGAGCACCCCAGATCTGCGGCAAGGACAGCTGGTACTGGGAGCCGCATTATCACGCTGTACCATGTGGTTCTAGTTCACATATGTGTACTTCTTTTGGTGCAAAGAGGATCAGAAAAGCACTTCAAGGAGAAAGGTTACACAAAAAGAACGAGTTTCCAGTTGTTGGATCCTGACCCACAGAAACGTCTGGGCAGGTGGGCCTGGCAGGTCTGAGCCAGAGGCTGCCAGCCACACCGGCCCGGGTCAAGAGCAGGCGGCCCTGGTGACTCACCGGCAGGGCAGGATCCGGACCACGTCACTGGGCTTGTAGCCTTCAATACAAACGGCACAGTTGTCAAAGTCGGGCTCTGTTTCCTGCAACAGAGAAAACACACGTGAGCCTACTTTCGTGGCTTCAGCTCTTGTGGAAACGCCCAGGTAACGTGCCAAAGAATAGCACGCCTCAAAGCCAGGCAGGCTTCCACAGCCTTGGGCTGGGGGGTTTCTTCATCAGTAATCGACTGAGTATTGGCTTAACGTCCATTCCGTCTAACCTCCACTTTTTTGTTTCTGGGTCCCCCTCCCTGCAAGTGCTTCTGGGAGGAGATGATGTTTTATGTACCACTGCTAATAATGCTATTCATTATAATTAGAGGTGACACAGCAAAAACCCCAAGATGAGAAATACTATTTATGGACAAATATCAGAACAATATTTTATCTACCCATTCGTTGGGAATCTAATGTATACAACTCTAAAAAATAGTGTTTCTAACTCTTTTTCCAAGTTTATAAATCCCCCTTAATACCCCATAAAATATTACTTATATAATAGTCCTCATTCTTGTATTATTGTATGTTTCAGGGGAACAAGTAATAAAAAATACTTTCAATTTGGTAGTCGTTTTTAAATGAATGTTATTCATATACTCAATAGCATTTTCAGGAAGGTGAAAAACAGCAGCACACAAGTAGGGGGGCAAATCAATCACTCAGACTAGCAACAGCCCCAGGAACACATGTGAGCCAGGGATCCCTCACAAGGCCCCAGGAGCCCCAAATCCACTGCTCTGCACTTTCTTCTGCGCTGAAGAGAGACCTTCAGAGGCCACAGGTGTGGATAGCACCACTGTGCTGATGCTCCTCAAGGTGTGCTTGTGTTTTGGGCTTTCTGTCATCATCCTACAGCGAGGGAGCCCGCTGCGAAGGCCGTGGGGTTCTAGATGCCGACCTTCACAAGCTCCGAATATGCTCCCCACATGTACTGCAGATGCGAGTGGAGGGCATCACCCAGCACCTACCGTGGCCTTCCCTGCAAAGATTCATGGGAAACTTTTTCAAGTCCTAACATAGGCACAGTCATTAGAAAAGAAACAACAACAACACAAAACTGTGTGGGTCACTGAATGAGGTAATTAGCTACCATTTCAAAACTGCATATTATTTGCTTCTTTGCATTGGCTATTAGAAAGCCCCAACCTAAATTCAGTTACATATTTAAGGTAATGCATTTGTATACTAATTTCATCCCAACGTTATATGTTTTTCTCACACTTTCTGTTTAATTTCTCATATTTTTCTATCCAAACTACTTTGGTGTATGCATTTTACAAAGTGCTTTAAATTATATTTAATCAAGATAGGTATAGTAACAGATGCTTAGTGGAGAATTATCAGCATCCTTCTCTCTCCTTTCCCATCCTTCTCTCTCTCCTGCTCTGGTGGCCAGTAGAGCCCAGAGCTCATTTGAACAGCTCCTCACCCCAAAGAAAAGAGGCCGTTACCTTGTCTCCCTTCTTGATGGTCCTGACCTGGAGCTTGCTGATGGCTTTTTTTGCTGCATCTCCCAGTCGGCGCTGAAACATCAAAAGCTGCTTGTTAATAACAAAGGCCTGTGATTCTTGACTTAGTTTCTGATGGCATTTAACAAACCAGGGCAGCTGTCTCTGGAATCATGCACAAGTGAGTGGCCTGCCTGTCCATGAACGGCTCTGGAAGAGGTGGACTGGTGATATTGGTGCAAAGTGGCCCCAGGAACTGAGGTCTGCTAGAGAGAAGCTCCTCATGGCCAATGTAAAGCAAGGGGCGCATGGAAAGATCCTGCCTGACAGTGACTTTGGAGCAGGTTACATCGATGCAGACTAGCACAAAATAAATAAGTTTAGTAATTTGCCACTCTAGCCATTTAATTTGTGACACAGAGACAGTCAATCTGGAGTAGTTAGAATGAACTTCATCTCCTTTTTTTTCACACTCAGGGTTTATTGTTGGTGGATTCCTTTTAATTTGGAATTTTAAGACATTTCCTTTGCTTATGTAGACCCAAACTAGGTTTATATTTAGTCTGTCTATCCAATTATATCACATTTGTACGTGCCAATTTTGTTTCCTTTGTGTATGTTTAAATATGAATATGGGCACAGGGAAATAAATATACATGTTTAGTTTAACAAATAATTATAAAGCATGCCCTCGGTATCCACTATAACCCACATCAAGAAATACTACATTGTACACTATTTTTTAAAAACAAAGTTACTTTCCAATGAGTGCTATGATAATGCAATAAGGAAGACTGGGAGACAAAAAGGGTGAGAAAAGAATTGTTTTACTCTGTCAAGGAAAAAAATATTTTGCTTTCATGCTTGTGAGCTTTTTACATGTTATATCACCTTCCTAGGTACATGTACTGTTTGTTATAGATGTGTATTTGCAGCACTAAAACACATCTGAAGGACTGAGGTAAGTGGGAAAAACAATGAAACAGAATAAGCATTTGCTTGTACTCATCGTGTTCCTCTTAGAAATAACACCAAGCTTCTGTTTTGTTTTGAAAATAGTGAACACACACTAGTGTACAGTTCATTTATCCCGGGCGCTTTGCTGAGGCTGTACATGTAGTAGTATCCTTTATCTTTACAATAACCCTATGAGAAAAATGTTATTTCATAGAATGAATTAATACTTATAGAGTTTATGTAAATTGTTTTAATAGTATAGTGTCAGTGAAAGGCCAGTTAGAATCTGAATGAAATTAAGTCTGACTTCAAAGCCAAAGCTCAACCTACCATTCTTATTATTCACCATCCATCCAAGTGACCAACCATCCAGTCAGCCAAACAACCAACTTCTGCCCAGACAGCCAGCTAACCAATCAGCCAGCCAATCCACTCACACTTGGCCAGCCAGCCAACCAACCAATCAGCTAACCAGCTAGCAAGCCATTCAGCCAACCAACCAATCAGGTATTTCAGATCACTTACTCTGTCCCAGGTACAACTCTAGGTTTTGAAAAAAATGGTAGTGAAAACACACACACACACACATTCCTGCTCTCTATAGTTTATTATCTAGTAGAAACTCCATTAATGGTTGGTGAATAAATAAAAATCGTAAAGCCAGAGATTTTTGTTTTTAGCATGGAAAACAACCTGAGAAATTTAGCCAGTTAATGAGAAACTATATGGACAAACCATAAGTAACACATGTGGTTAGGTGAGCAAAGCTATGGCCCTGACTTTGGCAACACCAGCCTGTCTCAACCAAGAGCTGGTTTTCGCTGAAGAAGCCAGGAGCAAGAATTGAAAGGCATGGAAAAGGGGCTACTAGTTACAGGGGATAAATGCAGCAAACCTGAAGAATATTATGTTTATAATAAGAGATCTGGACCTAAAGTAAACAAGCATTGATTGTTTTAATTTTAAATTATGAGCCCAGCTATTTCTGTAATGTAATTGCATTTAATTGGTATTATATAATATGTGGCCCCAATCCAATCACTTGAATTGTTTCTTATTTTCAAAAGCTAAGCAGAGCAATTAGGTAGCAAAAATTATTTTCAAACAATGGTCATATATTATACTCAAAGAAAGACCAACTTTTTAAAAGGAGGTAAACCAGAAATTATATTTTCAAAATTTAACTTATTTAAAATAATTATTTTAGCAAATGAAATACGCCCTTCTTTATAGACAATGGTGAGGGGTGAGGACTGAATGTGGGAGGGGAGGGTGGGCAGGGGAGAGTAATGAGGAAAAATAGGGACAATAGTAACTGTATAACAAAAAATGAAAAATGAAATATGCTCTTATTAAATATGAATGTGTAAGGTCAATTCACAGACTACTTTCTACCTTGTCCATGTATTTAACTTTACTTTTGGCTATATATGACTAAAAATAGGCTATTTAAAGTTAAAAAATTTTTTTTATTTGAGAGAGAGAAGAAAGGGGGGTAGGCACAGAGAGAGAGAGAGAGAGAGAGAGAGAGAGAGAGAGTGAGCGCATGTGTGAGCCTGACTGGGGATTGAATCTGCAACCTTGTCATATTGGAAAGATGTTCTAACCAACTGTGCTACCTGGCTGGGGCTAAAAATGGGATATTTAAAATATATATGTATCCCTTTCCCTCCTCCAAAAAAATAAGAAATGCTTTTCTATGTGGTTTTAAAGGAAAATGCAAGCTGCCTTAAAAAAAAAAACAAAAATGGTGCGTCTCCTCAGGAAACGTAAGGGGATTGTGGCTGACGGCAGAGTTCACGGTTAGGGGATTAACGGTCAGGAGTTCCGGTGGCCGAGGCCTGGGAGGTTAAAGGAGTTCAGTGGAGGATAAACTCCTTTGGGAGTGGGCTTCTCAAATGAGCTCAGCTAACAGATGGAGAACTTAGAATAAAAAAAGAACGATAAAGTCCTCTCAACATCAAGTCTATAAAGTCTTCCTCCCTGGAAGTCCTGAGAAATCAGATGATTCACAAAGGAAGGGAGACACGCTTTCCTTGGTCATTCTGGAAGAAATGTATAGTGCTATTCCTTTCTCTTCCGTGCTCAACTCGAGGGCCTCGAGTCCAACCTCATTTCAGATGGTAACGCACATTTACCTCTTTTCACGAGGAGCAGAGCAATGTTTTGTGAGTGACTGATGGTGGATACGACAGTTGGACTGGCCAAGGGCAGAACAGATGTTCTAGATACCCCAGAGAACCAGAAAAATAGGCCTCTGAGAGATACATGAGAGTGATAAAACCATGGCGTGCTAGATTTTTCAGTAGGGGTTTAGATGAACAAAATAAGGGGGAAAGCACCGTAAAGTTTAAAAAAATACTACTGGCACGTAGTCACATTTTCTGTATATGCATGTCTCTTTCTTTTTGACACGCAAATGACACACAGAAATACTGACTTCTGAATAAAAAAATGGACTCGCTTTCTAACTCGTATTATTGGATTTCCCAAATGCAAACTAAGTAATGAGTAAAAATGTAAACAGTCCTAACGAAATGGCCCAAGTAAAGCAGCTGTAGCTTTTGTGGTTGGTGTCTCCTGTCTTTGGGTTTTCACTGCACCAAGTGTAAAGAAAGAAGAGGAAGACCACAGGCCCTGCTCAGACAGGGCCTTGTAGGGAGCCTGAACCGAGGACCGGAAATCTGTCATCGGGAAACTCATCCTTTCCTTCGTGCTTCTCAGAAATGCAGATGAACAGAATATGGGAAACCAAGGGACCATGTCGGATGGAGTCAGGGATCACTACAGGTTATGGAGGCCTTTTGTCTCAGGGGCTCCCCCTTGTCCAAGAGGCCCCTACAGAGTTTCTCCGATCAAAATAATGCTTTTCATTAAAGATCACTGGGAGTTTGCCCATCTTAGTAATTAAGGTTTCCCCATCAATTTAATCTAAATGAGTATAAGAAAGTATTTACCAAGATTATTGGTTCCTTGACAGTAATGCAAATAAATGGCTTCATGGGAAATGAAAACAGAAGCATTTATTAGAAGAATGAAGTCCTGTGTACGTGCCAGCAAGGAGGGTAAACAATGACACACTCTGGTTCAACCCAAGACTCAGAAATTAGTGACCTTTTAAATATTTAGGAAATGGAGAAAAATAACACATTTTCCTCTGGTCTCCTTCTGTGTCATAAACAGACATGCAGTGAAGATGATTTAAAAAAAAACTAAGAAAAGAAGGATGCCAAAACAGCATCAAAATCGTGTTTAGGTTCTATCTCATTTGACTGGATAATTCTGTCATTACTGATAGTTGTATTTTATAATCATGGTTATCATCACCACCATCAAGGAGAAAAAGAACAAAGTGTTCTCATATTCCAGGTGAAGAGAGGACACTGGAGACACACACTGAGTTCGTCCCAGTCATCTGGGTCCTTCAAGTGGCCAGAGGTGACTGGTGACTCAGACACTCCCTCCCTCACTCTAATACATGACAATGGTCCTCCTGGGGCTGGCTGATGCGAAAGAAATCACTGTGCAGCCTGTCCGGTGCAGTTCTATCCATTTCTAGTCACACTCCATAAATCTAGAAAAACGGATAAGAGGCTTAGACCGACCACTTCGCAGCCAGGGTGACCTTCCAGGGTGATGGTGTCATGCTGTCTGTGCGTATGCAGCACGAGGTAAAGACGTCAGGGTTACTTTTTGTGGGAGGTGTTGTCCTCTATCTGTCTCTAACTGTCTGGCTTTGGCCAAGTCACTTAAATATTCTCGACCCCAGCCAGGCCCCCTTATTATTAAAATTAGGTACGTAGAGTCATGTCATTTCCAGTTTTGCCAGCTCAGGATTTCCTTCCATGCAGAGCAGAGCTGGGAGGCAAAGATCCTTTGAGACCTGAGTTATCTAAACATGGCAGCTCCATGGCTGATCGCCTCACTGCCTCCTTCATGGACACAACATACACTTCACCTTTCTGCCCCCCGGAGGGCTCTGCACTGTCTCCAGGGAAGCACCAGAGACCGTGTTGGTTGTCCCTCTTTAGGAGACAGAAGCATCGCTCTCTGCCTGCAGACCTGACCCTGGGACACTTGGCATACTCTCTCCCTTCCCTCCCTCTCTCTCCCTGTGACGTCCAAGGCCAGACGAGCTCATTCCAGCACAACTTCAGGAGCCATATGTGCAAATGAAATCAAAGGGACACGGGCCGTGAACATCAAATACAGGGGAAAGGTATTCACAGAGAGAGGTAACTCTTTCAAGAAAACGTGATTGAATGTCATTACCAAGCCTCATATAAAACAATACAAAATGGGTCTGGTTTCCTTGGATTAGCCTCAAAGGCAGCACTGTTTATAAAAACTAAAAGGAGCCTTGCACAGTTTATCTGATCTGCTCACGTTTGAAATGGCCGCCATCTCAATAGATGAGAGGCCTGCAGATTTCAGGACACAGCCCCAGCCCTTGTGTCTGAGATAGGATGTCCCAGGAGCCTGGAGACATGTCCCAGAGCATCACCAGAAGGCAGCTCCCCTGCCCCAGCCAGAGCCCAACGCTGCGCCCTGGCTTTGCTCTGACGCCTGCAGGGTTTCTATAAACAGGAGAGCAATTAGCAAATGGCAGCAGCCAAAGTAGCACATCTGGGGAAAGAGGGAGACCTGGCTTCTGAACCGCCTGCTGGGCAGGGGAAAGCTGCCGGCCCATACTGGGCACTGGTGCTGGGGTCAGGCATCCGTCACCTATCTGGCACTCCATCTTGGAGTTCGGGGGTGGCCGCTAGAAGGGAGGTGACTAGTTGGGTTGAATGCAGAAGAATTCTGAGCCTCCTCTGTGGAGTCCCTGGAGATGGGGAATCTTAGACTAGACACTGGAAGGGACTTAACAACCAGGACTTACTTCTAAAGCCAAAAAGGGCCACATTCAAACAGTTGAATGTGTCCAGTGTCACTTGTACATTTTTTTGTAAGCAAAAACATGTCCATTAATAGCTAGTTTAACAAATGTAACATATATGGGAAATGAACCATTATACAGTCATTAGCAATGAGAAGGCACCTTGGACTGGGTGTTGATTTAAATTAATCTCCAAGATCTGGTGAGAATTAAGGGTACAGAATGTGCTATTATTTGTACACACACACACACACACACACACACACACACACACACACACGTTGACAAGCACATAAAATATTTCTAGAAAAGAAGAAAGCCCAGGCAGGGAGCCTGGGTAACAAAGGGCACGCGTGGGAAGGAGACTACTTTTCGTGTGTAGACTTTTATACCTTTTGCAATTTATATCACAATGTATGTATTAACTGTTCCAAAACTAATTGCTTTTTAAAATAGCTTTTATTTTATTTTTTATCTCTTCTTTGATCACAAGAAGGAAATTCTGGCTCTTCCCAAATTATGCTGCCATTATTAGCACCATCTCAGTTCACGTTCCTTTTCTCCCTTGATTACGTGCCTAAGTAAACAACCGCCCAGAAGGTGAGCAGCAGGAAAGTGGGACAAAGCACCCGCAGCCTGTAGAACACTACCCGTGAAACACCAACACGGTGTTATCTGGAAAAGCTCTGAAAAACTACACAGCAAATATTAAGTGCTTATCTTGAGAGGGGGTAGAATAGGTAATTTTCATTCTGTCCTGGTATTTTCTGTGATTTCCAAAGTTTATACAACAACACGTCTTACTTTGGGAATACTTTTTAAGTGTGTGTTTTTTTAATAAAACGTTTTGCTCCTCACCTGGTTCCTGTCCCTGGCGTTCGCATATCGAAACCTCTGGATGTAGTAAAAGACCAGCCACGCGAGGGAGATGATCATCAGGACGATGAAGGAGATGGAGACGAACACCACCGAAGTGCGGCTCACGTATTTCTGCAAGTTGCGGGTTCCGATGGTGATGTGCATGGTCACGGTGATGTTTCTTTCCAGCAGGCTGACGATCTCCTTCCCTTTTAGCTCAGGGATCATTATTGCCACGATGTCTTCGACACCTGTTGTGAGAGGGGCAAGAGCAGGGCCATAAGGGCAAGGGGGTGAGAGGGGGAGGGAAATAGTGAAATGTCTGGGTAACGTAACACACAACTGAATAATGACACTAGTTTTGACAACTCTTTGCCAGATCTACTATCCACATCTAATTCTAAGATCTAACAGCCGGAGACTTGGTCAAATTCTCTCTTTCATCATCTTCCTTGGGATGCTGCTGTCTTGTACGTGAGAATGGAACTGAAAATGGTATTTGTCTTTCACTGTCTGGAACCTAATCAACAAAACAAAGCAGCAAGCAAAACAGAACCAGTGACACTGAAATAAGGAACAAGCTGACGGGAGGTAACCAGAGGGGAGGAGGGAGGATGGTAACAGGGAAAGAAAGGGGAAGAATAGTCAAGGAACATGTATAAAGGACCAATGGACGATGCCAAAAGGGGGTAGGATTGAGGGTGGGAGGTGGGGAGGTAGTGGGGCGGAAATGGAGACAACTGTACTTGAACAACAATGAAAAAAAAGAATCTAAAATGACCTCATAATTTGGGTACCAGTGAAGGCACAATAGAGCTGCCCTTCCACTGTCCAAGGTGTTGTTGACCCTGGTAAAGGTGGGCCCTGCCCAGCTAGTCCAAGTTTGCAGAGCTATGTTGCATTTCACAAGCCTCCCTGGGTGGGGAACAGTGCTCTGCACCCCATGTCACAAGGGTGAAAGGCAGTTTTATGCCATTTCTCAGCAGGCTTTCTCCCCTTCTGCTGCTTGGACACTCTGAGTGTGTGACCGTAGATTTCTATCTACCATTTTCAAGGAAGTTTTCGCCTACAGTTACTATCCAAAGCAACCCCAAACAGGGATTTTCAACGAGCTCTGACATATTTGTCAACACAAAATAATGTTCTCACAACCACATTCTGCCCATTTTATGTAACTCAACGTAAACAGCTTGGGTATCCTTGCACCAAGCAAGGGAAGGTGGAGGCTGAACAGATCATTCCAGGAGGGTTTCGTCTCTACTCCCAGATGCTCCCACCACAATGCCCCTGTTACTGGACAGCTGGTAGCAGGAGTGGCAACTTTCTTGGGTCTGAGTTATCTGGGTCATTGTCCTGGGCCCTATTCTTCGTGACACCATGAGAGGCACAGCCTCTCGGTGAGGCATTCTGGGTCTCTACGAGGGATCTTTAGTGAGGATATGATACCAGCTCCAAATGCACCGGCTTGACATGTCGTGGTGGCTTGTGGACTTGTGTGTCAGCCTCACTAGGACAGGTTCTCAGGGATCACCCGATTCAAATTTTTGCTCGCAAAGCTCTTCAAGAGCCCCGTTTGCACATGGAGGTAGTCTATTACCTGGGGTCACTACAAATTAGAGAGAGCAAATTTACAATTAGGATGTTGTAGCTCAGGGACAAAATTAAACACCACCAGAGTCACTTAAAGCTGGCCTTATTCACACACTGAGGTCAGCCAGCTAGGCGGAACCACCAGGTTATATTTGCTCAGGATGTTGCAAGTCTCTTAGAAGCTACTTAGGGCTTTCACTTGACTTTGATCTCTATGCCAGTTTTCAATCCTGCATAAAGATTTCACCAAGGCTAAGGCAGAATAAATACATTAAAAGCTAACTATGTACACAAAGGTGTCTATGTATGTATGACACATTAACTATATGTTTTTTTAAATATATTTTTATTGTAGTTCAAGTACAGTTGTCTCCATCTCCCCCCACCACTGCCCCCTGCCCCACCCATCCCCACCTCTCACACTCGATCCTACCCCCTTTGGCTTTGTTCACGTGTCCTGTATATACATTCCTTGGCAACCCTTCCCCCCTTTTCCCCACCTTATCCCCTCCTACCTCCCCTCTGGTTACTCTCAGTTTGTTCCTGATTTTAATAGCTCTGGTTTATGCTAAGTGAAATAAGCCAGGCGGTGAAAGACAAATACCATATGACCTCACCTATAAGTGCAACCTAATCATCAACTATATATTCTTAAAAATCCCAAAACCTTTGTACTGGCCCAACTATAAAATCACAAAGCCACATAATGTTTAGATTGAGCTGTTAACTTCTGGGAATTACTGAAACTGATGTCTTGAACTTCACCTCTGCAGAATTTACTGACAGTTCCAAAGCTCCCCCTTTCATGTTTACTTTGGCTAATGGCTGCATGTGGTCTGAGGTTTTGCGAGGCGTTAGAGCTGCTGGCAGGTTTTGTCTCTACAGGAATAGCTTCCTTGTGTGCTGGACTAGTCTGGCTTAGTGAGGTTCACCCTGGTGCTGTGAACAGTTTAGAGATATTTATGTAATGGTAGAATCATACTTTTTCGCTTAATTTATCCCCTTATTTATATATTTTTAAGCATGTCTATTCAAGGCTCTAGAATAAGATTTTTTTTCTGACAAGGGGATCTTGGGGTCATTTATGAGATTCGTATGCTCAGTCTCGGCACAAGTTTTACATTTTTTAGTGGTCAAATTTTATTATTATGTTCCTTTATGGCTTCTAGTTTCAACACTCTGCTTAGGAAGCTTCCCCACCAAAGATGACAGAGAGACTCTTTTAAAATTGCTTTTCAAACTTTTTAGCTTTATGTTTCACACTGACATCTTGAACAACCTTAATGTGATTTAATAACAACACAACATATGTTTGAGCTCTTGTAACGCGATGGGCGGAAAGGAGACAGGTAGGGTGCAATTTCTTTTTCTCTAAATTCTTAGACATACTGGGATCCACTGCTGGATTTTATTTTACTGTTAGGTTGACCTATCTTTTGCTGAACCAACACCAGGCTATTTGAGTTGTCTAGGCTTTTAACATATTTACTATTGGGCAGTCTAACTCTTCCTTCACTAATTTTCTCCTGACACTTTTCCTAGTACCTCCTAATATTAAGAGCCCACAGAGTGTAATGGTGAAGAGTTGGACTCTGACGCCGAACAGTTTGTTTCAAGGCCCAGCTCAGCATTTTAAAAACAGGCAAGTGAAGTTTGGATATCCACGAAGTTCTAAATTACTCATCATCCATTTCCAGGAACCGGAGAAAACATTTTCTCTTCCTGTAGGGCAAAGTATAATTAACTATTTTAAACACACTACTTGGGTTGCTCATAACCACTGCTGTGTTGTCACAGGACATGACATCCACTTGGAAAGACTGAAAATGACAGTGTTCTATCCACCTGAACTTGAACCTTAATCATTGTCAGTCTTCATCATGAATTTCTACGGTGATGATGGCAAAAATCAGATGGGATTCTGGGACACTTATCCATGCACTTTAGGCTATGTATTGTGCCTTTATACCAGTAGAAATAGTCAGTAAGAACTTAGGTGCACAGGGTATCCAAAAACGGTACAAAGTAAAGTGGATTTGGATGAACTAGCTGATCAATCTGATCAAAGCACAAAGTCCAGGGCAAAATGCTACTGAAGGATCGGGTCTGTTTCAATGAGACATATGCACCACCACGAGTTACAATTCCCTGATCTTTGCTTCATTTTGGAAAGTGCACCTAGTGTCAGGGAGAAGCCTGTAGTGTCCTAGCTTCTGTGGGTGTGCTGGTAAGGGGAGGGAGGGTGAGGGGGAAGGGCAGGGCTGAGGGGGGCAGAGAGTGCTGAAAGCCCAGCTGAGCCACCTCCTTCCGGTGAATGAGTGCTGCCCTAAGCACGTACTGACCCACCGGAGGCTCTGAGACTCCTAGGAGCAGTGAACAAGCAGCATATTCCGTTGTGTGTGCATGCTACAAACCGGTCTTGCTCTTTGGGCAATTCTGTGTTTACTGCGATGCCTAGTCTACTATCGATCGTGTCTTCTTGCAAAATTATGTCAGCAAACCATCTATTTTCCTCCCACTTCTGAGTGATCACTGTTATGCAATCACCGTGTAGTAGGGAAAAGGTCTGTTACCCTGCGAGAGAGGGTGTGACCACAGCACAGACACATACAACGCATATGATGAAGCAGCCAGACAGGTGACAGGGGTGCCCTGTGGGTTTAGTGCTTCCTTTTCCCAGGAGAGTGCTCAGTGGCCATTACCTAATTTGATCTATGCAGATAAGTAAGGAATCAGAACAAAAGTTCAGAAAGAATGTTTACTAACCAGGAAATCCTTTACTGAAACATTCAAAACCAGGTCGTTTAAACACTGCATTGATAGACTGTCTAGAGTACCAGCACAGTGCTATGCATTTAAAGGGCCAGCAGCCCCATTCCTCCCCGTGCACCCTGTAAGGTGTTAATGCCCTCCTATAGGTTCATGGGAGCAAAAACCCTTCTCAACTCTCTGCATCCTCTCTCTCTCCTAATCTCTACTCACTCACTGACAGCCCTTTAGAATTTAGGCAATAATAAGAGAAGGCAGTTTCCATTTATAGATGTTTTCTATTTATACACTTAATATCTACTTAAAAGAAAAAAGCTCCTAATAATCATCTGTTCTCAAGTAAGATGATAACATATGTGAAATAATTTCAAAAGTTGCAAAATACTATATAAATGTAAAGTATTATAATTTTCTGCATTAGTTTAAAATATTTTTTTTTAAAAAATATTTTATTATTTATTTATCTTTAGAGGGGAAGTGGGGGAAGGAGAGAGGGAGAGAAACATCAATGTATGGTTGCCTTTTGTGCGTCCCCTGCTGGGAACTGGCCTGCAGGGAACCGGCCTGCAACCCAGGCATGTGCCCTGACTGGGAATCGAACCGCAATCGTGTGGTTCGCAGGCCCGCGCTCAATCCACTGAGCTACACCAGCCAGGGCTAAAATATTTTTAATAAATATAGATGTCAAAATCCTAAGTAAAGCATTCACAAATAGGCCTCAACAATATAGTAAAACAAACAAGCAAACAAACAAACAAACAAAGAAACTTCATTACCAAGGTGAGACTTAGAAAGGTGAGGGTGATTTAACATTAGAAAATATATTAATGCTTTTGAGCACATTAACAAATTAAAGGAATAAAGCATAGGATTATCTTATATAGCTAGCCTT